AACGCTTCTAGTTCTCACGTGTTTGCCTCGGTGTAAAGCTTGAATAAATCGAGTAAGATGAGACATCATTATTTTACGTCCCTTTTTATTTTTGTTTCTATTTACTGAATTCCTTTTCTGTCAGTAGACAGGAGGTTTGATTTCAGTATAAGTTCTAGTTTATTGTTATATGTTTCCAAAATATGTCAATCTTCCTTTGTGTCGAACCTTCTAAAACGATTCTTCTAACATTCGACACAGAACTGGTGCAAGTGACATTTCCATGGAAAGTTTGGCCTGCATCAAATGCTGGCACTAATACCATGAACATTTCAATATGACCGATATTTATGTCATACGTTTCACGTATCTCATACTCGAGAATGTCAGAATTGAAAGAAGCTTTTATGACAAACAATTTGACCAAAGAGATGGCGAAGAAGTCATGACCTTAAGGTGAGAAGACATTAAGGGGTATAGTGAAAGTAAAGCGTGGCCATTTTGAATTGTAAATATATGTGCAACATTGCCAATAAATATAACATTCAACCTGTAAGCGTTCATTAACACCTAAAAAAACTATTTATTCCATGTTATGATAAAATGAGTAATCTGTAAATATATATTCCGCAACAAACTGGAAATTATATATATATATATATATATATATATATATATATATATAGAGAGAGAGAGAGAGAGAGAGAAAGACAAATTAAAAATTATAATGTTTTATTTTATGAAAAATTTATATATATATATATATATATATATATATATATATATATATATATATATATATATATATATATTGTAAATCACTAGCGAGTCTTAAATGCCACTTAAGATTATCGTACAAACTTTCATAACTGAATCAATAATCTCTCAGATCCTCATACGTCGAAACCGATGGGAGAGTTCATTATCTATCTATCTATCTATATATATATATATATATATATATATATATATATATATATGTGAAGGAATATAGTTTTAAGATGTGATATATTTATGGGGTAAAGTGCTCAATACCAGATATAGAGCGTGTGTAAATATAAAAGTGAACATAGAAGTCAACACTTAGAGGCGACAGTCTGTTTCATGCTAGATGCAGGTGGCCTGATGATTGCATCTACCATGAAACCGACTGTCGCCTCTTATGTTGAATTTATGTTCACCTTTTATATATATATATATATATATATATATATACAAAAGTGAACATAGAAGCGATAGTCTGTTTTATGCTAGATGCAATCCTCAGGCCACCTGAAGATTGCATCTAGGATGAAATATGATTATGATATATATATATATATATATATATATATATATATATTCATCAGAACGGAGGTAAATATATACAATAAGTGTCTAAGAGTTAATAGACATAGGGTGCATGGCTCTCCACATCTTCCTATTTCTTGTGACTATTAGCAGATTTTCTTCCTTTTCCTGAGGCTGCCACTACTCGTTCCACAATACAAGCCGGCCAGGTAGATTGTTCTCTGTTTTCCCCTATCTCTCATGCCTCAGTATGCCCCGATATGATTGTTTTCCAAGCCGTCTTTCCTCATTGACTTTTCCTGATTATGAGTAGAAGTGCTCTTTCTGTTGCCATTGTCTTTATTTTTGCTTACCTGTTCCACCAACAGAATTTTCAGTATACATCCATAGAACCACATTTCTACTGCTTCCAGTTTTCTCCTCATCCGGGGAGAGTTTGTCCCGCATCCATTGCCATATAAGACAACACTTGGTAACCTGGCACTCTTTTCTTTGTTTCTAATGAATCTTTTTCAGTTCTCAGCATTTTGCTTATCTTTTGGACTGCTTCTTTCGCTTGTCGAAAACCTGTTCGGATCACGACATCACATTTTTCCATCCTCTTTTAAAACACTTCCCAGATATTCGAACTTTTACATCAAGACATCATCGAGGAGGCGAAAAGTATAAAAGCATTTTCCATGATGTGTTTTATTAATAACAAAGTCAGTTGAGAAAGTTAAGTCACGGAGTAAAGTTTAAGCAATCTCCTCCCGTAGATTGTAACAATTGTCCCGAGTTTGAGCATCACTCGGTGTTTGACACCTTTGGACATACGTGATTATGCCTTTCCACTATTTTCTATCCCTTGTGGCCTTTAATAGATTTTCTCCCTTTTATAACGCTCCTGTCGCCAGTTCCGCCATCCATTTACATAAACTCATTAAGTGGCTTACTGCCTTCCCTTATCTCTCTCGCTATCAATTTTCCTTGTGAGGGCTAAATTTTCCAAACCTCCTTCGTCATTATTTGCGCAAAGGAATTTCAGCTGTCTTTTCGGGATTCTCTGTAGAAGGGCTCTTTCTGATGCCATATTATTTCAGACTTCCTTTTTCTTTACTAGTTCCGCCCACAGAATGATCAATATCCTTCTGTAGAACCACATTTCCGCTGCCTCCAATTTTCTCATCATCCGTGAGGAAATTGTCCAGCATTCACTGCCATAAAAGAAGATGGACAACACATGGTAATCCGGCACTTTTTTCTTTGTTTCTAACGAATCTTTTTCATTTATCAACACTTTGCTTAGCTTTTGGAAGGCATCTTTCGCTCGTCCAATGCGTCTTTGGATCTCGGTGTCGCATTTTCGATTCTCTGTTAAAACACTTCACGGATAGTTCTTCGAACTTCTACATCAGCTTGATGTTTATATCTCCAATTCGTAACTCGTATCTTGGGATTTTTCTCTTGCTGATGACCATACATTCTGTCTTCTTGCAGTTGATGGTTAGTCAAGCTTATTAAATATGATTTCTTTTATACGGCTTATCAACTGGTTATTTAAAGCCAGAAAATATTTTGAGATTGTAATAATTTCTTTTTTAGATAATAATGATTTAGTGATAAAAGTCTTACTATATTAACCCGTAGCTAGGGGAGAAAAGGATGGATTCATACCTTTCCCAACAGTATGTGTGCCTAAGTGAATATACCGAACACAAATAGAATTGGAACGCAGCTCTCCGATTAACAATTCCGAATCCTTATTCATTACACCACCCGCACATCCAAGCTTACAGATCTGATATTCCAAAGTGGTAACCCATAGTGCTCTTTGTGTGGCAATTTTCTTTAAGACTTCCTTTTTGCTTACCAGTCCCGCCAACAGAATTTTCAGTATCCTTCTGTAGAACCCTATTTATATGCTGCTTCCAGTTTCAAATTCGGTAGATTTTCCAACATTTCCTGGTGTATAAGTGGATGGATAACATATCGCAATTCAGAACTCTTTGTTTCTGAGGAAATATTTGCCGTTTCTGAGCATATTCTACTGCCTTTGGAATGTTTCTTTTGTTAGCTGAATGGGTGATCGTATCCCTGTATCTCATTTTCCATCCTTTGTTAAAAAGTTTCCTAAATATTTAGACTTCAGCTCCGACTTGATATTAATATCTCCAAATTTTAACTCGTATCTTAGGATATTTCTCTTGTTGATAACCATAATCTCTGTCATATCGCAGTCGATGTTTAGCCCCTCTTTCTCGCTTTCCTCTACTAGGAGTTCTGTAGCTTCCTTTCCGAGTCAACGCGGTGTCATCTGCGTATCTTATATTGTTGAGATTATCCTCACCGATAATCCTTGTAGTGTTTCCAGTCCCCTTAGAATAGCGTCGCTGTAGAGGTTAAATAAATCTGGGGAGAAAACATATCCTTGTCTCATTCCCCTTTCTATTTTTGTGTAACTTTGCTCATTTAAAATAACATTTGGCTTTTTGCCAGACGAATCTTGTTACCATATTAATACTTGTTTAATAGAGGGCTTAGTAAGATCAAATATACTAATTGGCTCGTAGCATTTGTTCCACACTCAAATATGATGTGTAAAGGAATCGATTAGTATTTGGATGATTGAGTATTTGAGAAAATCACATACACAATCACCGTGTAGAATTGTACCCGATTAAACAAAGATTTGTAAATAAATGATTATAATTTTCTTTATGTCCATTTCGGGGAAAAAGGCAAGGGTATTGGACATTATTGATTCAATGATAACTAATTGACTCGGGGTCTTGGTAAATCATTATTCATGATTTGTTGTGAAATGTTAAGCTAAGATGAGCGCCCTAGTAATTCGTCAATCTTATTCAAAGAATCTGTTTTATTTCAATCAAGCCGATCAATTTGTTTCCTTCAATCTGTCTTTATTCACTTATGCTTCTCTTTCTTTCGTTCTCCCATTTTCTTAGACTATTTTCTTCAACACATTGTCATAGAATTTCCTTTTATTTTTTTTATATTTCTTTCGTTTCTTTTCTCTTTGCTTCATTTCTTTTTCTTTCCAGTTTATTTATCTATTTTTCTTTACCTTTTACATTCTTTATTTCTTTCATTCTTTCTTTCTTTCCTTTCATTCATGTTTTTCTTTCTTTTTTATTTTTATTTTAACTTTGTTTTTCTCTTTTTCATAATTTTCTTTTTATGTTTATTTTTTTCTTTCATTTTTACTTTTACTTTCTGTTTCTCTTTATCACTGTTACTTTTTTTCTTTCTTTTTCTTATTCTTATATTTTTGCTATTTTCTTTCTTTTCTTCTTTTTTGGGGTTTATTATTTGACTTCTATTTCTTTCCTTTTTGTTGTGGATTCCGAGATGAAATTCGGTCTCCAAGGAATGACAAACGCGATATTTAAATATAAGAAATAAAAGGTATTTACACAATCATACAAAGAGTAATACTGTTAGTAAGTCCAGGAACGCGGTTAGTAGCAAATACAGATAGATATATACAGTCTCGAAGTAGGACTTCCTTAGAGTCTACATGCTTGTATCTGACTTCTACAAGAGGTTACATCACTCTATCTCCGTTTGTATATTGTCTCACTCTCGTTGTATATCCTCTCTTTCCGACTACCCTAACTGACTGATTTAACGGCAGCACTCCAAGTAACACTGGTAGAGTCCACTTATATGAAAAGGGGAGGACCCCATAACACTTTTATTATACATTTCTTTCTTTTCTTTCTTTTGAGTTTCCTCTATTTATTTTTCATTCTAGTTTCCTTGTTTTTTATCTTTCTTTTCCTTTTTTTATCTTTTATTTATTTCATTCTTTTTCCTTCCTTTTTACATTTATTCATTCTATCTTTTTACTTTCTTTCATTTTACTTTCACTTTCTTTTCATAATTTTCTTCCTTTTTTTTTCCTTTTTTTTCTTATTCGTATATTTATATAATTTTCTTTCTTTTCTTCCTTTGTGAAGATTATTATTTTCCTTTTTTCCCTCGATGACAAATTTCTTTCTATAATTTCATATTTTTCTTCCTCAGCTTGTATTCATTTTTGCTTGTTCTTTTTTTTTTCTTGTTTCTCGTCGTTTTTGTTTGTTTCTTTCTTTGTTTCTCTCTTTTTTATTTTTTTTCTTTCTTGCTTATTCATATATGCAATGCTATTTTCTTTCTGATATATATTATTGTTCTTTCTTTTAATCCGTTTCTCAAATCATTCTTTTCCTTTCTTTCTTTCTTTTCTTTTCTTTTCTTTCTTTAATACAAAGAACTATTTGTACTACTAGGAAAAGTTGATTTACTTTGGAAAGATATTCGGATAATCGAAACGCTTATATAGGGAACAAACTACCTGCATACAGATAGAAAATTAATTCAGTAAATACACAAAAATAGAAAAGCACATAAGACAAGGATGAGTCTTCTCCCCGAACATTCAAACTTTACACTAAGGCGACCCTAAAGTAATTAGAAGTCCTACTAGTGCTTATTATGGGCGGACTCAATCTTAACAAGATATGAATATAACACAGTATTAAGAGCATATAAAGAAAGCAGCCTACAGCAACTTAAGGTAGTAAAGGAAGGGGAGAAGAAAAGACTAACCATCAATTGTAAGAAGATCGAATTATATTTTTTCAGAAAGAAAAAAAGATACAAGATGCGAACCACGAATTTTAAATGTCAAATTGATGCAATTACGAACGTTAAAATATCTTGGAAGTGTTTTAACAGGGGACGTAATATGTGACACCGAAATTTGAAGACACGTTGCAATATCGAAAACTACATTCCAAAAACTAAGCAAAATATTACGAAACAGGACATCTTCTTTAGATACAAAGAAAAATGCTGAACTGCTATGCAATATCTATCGTCTTCTAGGACTGTGAATATTGGACAGTCTTCACAAAAATGAAAGAAAGAAATGACGTAACAGAAATATAGCTGTACAGAAGGATACTGAGAATACCATGTACTGATCATGTGAGAAATGAAGAAGTTTTAAGGAACATGGAAATAAAATGACACTTTTACTTAACATCAGAAAGAGAAGCATAATGAGGAAAGAAGGTTTGGAGAATTTGACACTCATAGGACACATCAAAGGCAAAAAAAAAACGGATGGCAGAACGGAGAGATGGAGGGATGGTGAAAACGTAAGTAAATGATAGTGGTAGGGGAACATGATCGCTCATCTCCTGAATAATAATAATAATAATAATAATAATAATAATAAAAACATAGAATTCACCCTTTGATAACTGTCATTTCAAATGACGTTTTCTTCGCACATGCAGTCCTACAGTCCAGTATGGGAAAAAAAAACCCTTGACTGGGAACCATTATCACAGATGGGATGGCATCATATCCGCTGCTGATGACATTTTTGCTCAACAGAATAAAAGCATGGATAAAACTGTGAACCGCAGAGGGGACGATGTTGAAAAATAGACCTTATTTGGTCACATTCCATGAGAATATCTTGGTCAGCCTATGAACTGTTCAACTGACCCTCGTAATTCTACCATAAAAAAACAACAAAACAAAAAAACTATAAAAACAAAAACAAAAAACATTGGCCTGTTTAGATTTGCTGAATACAAGTAAGGAAATAAAAAATATATTTCCGAAAAATACAATCTTTTACGGACGACTTGAAATCATTGATGACTGACAAAACAAACCGTTGTCATTTTTTTTTATTAACGACGACCAATTAAGACTTTTTCTATGATATGTTAGAACATTTTTAAACTTTTCTCTTGCAGTCCCTTTTTTATATGGACTATTTACCTGATCTTTACTGTTATAAGGTTTCAGCCATTGCAATCACCGCCGTTCTTCAGGTGTCTATCAGTCTGGGTAAACGCCGAACTCAACCTTTTATTTTATCAACAGGGTTAAAGTCTATCATTCCGCTGTCCTTGTCTAGTGATACCTCGTCTTTTATTACTGCTTACTTATTGTAGTCGTTGTTTCGATTATGTCTGTCGATTCTGAAATTTGGTAACATAGTAATCGTGAGTTTAATCCCTGGGCTGGTTAGTGCAAACTTAGATTTGGTCAAAATAGGGCAAGTAATAAATGAACATTAGAAAATCAGAATAAGACGTGACTTTGAAACCGGGACAAGGACAATCTACCCACCGTAGATTAAATAAAGAGTTCAGTTCGAAATTCCCTAATTTTGTGATAGTAACAACAAAGATTAGGACAATAGTACGAATGAAAAGAATATAAATATCAGCAGGGGTGCAATAACGGGGATGCTCTACTGCAGTTTGGGCTAGATCTGTAGGGGGGCAGTTGTTTCTAGTGAGGCCTCTTGGTGCCATGATATATAGGTACGGTTGTGTTTTCTGTAACCTGAACCTGTTAGTTCTTAAGCGTAGTACCTGGGGGTGCGGATGTTTCACTGATTGGTCTCCATACAATATTCTCATTTAATAATCCTCTACCTTGAGTGGCTCCCAAGTTTGCATTGGGTGAACATTTACTAAAAAAAAAAAATAGATACTCCCTCATGCCAGAAATTACGATATATATATTAAAATGACATTTTTATTTCAATCTCTTCCTCCTGCTTTTTATCACAACTCCCAGCTCGTTTTTTCTACGACCGCTAATCAAAGCTACAAGAAATGAAAATAAAAAGTGATGCACTTGATAGGACGGATCTGAAAGCTGTTAATCCCAACGTACAGAGAAGGGTGCCGGAATATTAAAGAGACTTGCTGTTGCTTGTTCTCTAACGAAATCTCCCAAATACAGGAAAGTGAGAATATCTGTGTCAAAGGATAACCATAAAAAATATCAATGACGATAATTCAATGAACGAATAGAGAAGGAAGAATTTTGCATATCTTATTTTCTGCCGTCAAGTTACATAATGAAAGACACGAATATGAATCTAAGCACACCGATTCTTGTATGGCTTTCGATACTGCTTGATTGCTTTATTCTTTACGGTTTGTTAACCTTCTGCAATTTATTTAAAGCTAGAAAATATTTTCTAATTGTGATAATTTTTAGGAAGATCCTAATTGTTTACTGATACAAGTCCTAATAATTAACAGAGTTAACGGTCAGGAGGGTTAGATTCATGCCTTTCCCAAGGGCATTGCGTTTAAGCGAATATAACGAACCTGACTGGAATTTGCATTCGGCTCTCCGATTCGCAATTCCGAGCCATTATCGATTACTCCACTCGCACAGACAGACTTACAGCACCTAGTGTTCCCAGTTATCCATCTCGGTACTGACCAGGCTTGACGTTGCTTTAATTATGTGAGGTCGTAAGAGATCTGGTGTTTCAACCTGATGTGGCCATAAGCCTTTTCGATGTTGAGAAGTAAGCGGTATTTTTTTCTTATTCAAAGAAGAGTTAAAAATAAAAAAGAACAGAATATAAAAAAAAAAACACATTTCCTTCCCTCTTTGCCGATTTGTCTTATCCTCGATTCCGATGTTAAAAGGCGAAGAATAAAAACGAAATGATTGGCTATCAGGTTTAGTCATAAGACGTGATTGGTCTGTTAATCGAAGTTGTTGTCTCCTTTCTCGTCCTTAACTGGACAATTATTCGAGCACAAATTCTTTTCTTCCTATTTTGATTGGGAAGGACGATACCACATATCAAAATTGATATGTCAATAACAGAACTAGAAATTTATATAATTTCCTTTCGAACGAGGGTGAATTATATTAACTGAAGAGCCAAAAAACCTACAAGGAGTGACTTAAGAACGGAAATCTAATTTTATCCGAATAACAGCGGCTACTACTGTAGTTGTTGCATGGGTATTTCTATCAAAACACGATTATATTTCAATTATGTCTGTTTGGTTTTGTCTTCAGGTATTGACCAGGTTTTGCACCATGCCCCCATTTATCTTCAATGAAATTTAAATCTGGCTGGCGGCTGGTAGAAAGGATTACCTGCAAGTCAGACGTGTGTTCCTAAAACTAGTTTCGCTGCGCAAAACTCATATATCATTCGAAGGTAAAAAAGAATCAAAATTTTGTTCGTGTCCTATAGCTTGACTACCAAAGATACATAATCTTACTGAGTCCATTACGACTGGTGAGGAGAGGGGGGAATATCCACTGTGGACTGATAACTCTAATTTTGGGCAAATCTGTTAGCTCGAGATATATATTGTAAATTTGATGGCGGACTTTTCTTAACTGACTGAACCGTAAATACTGGGTGATTTAAACTCCCTATTTTATGCATGATGGTCTCTTCAGTCTAATTATAGTTTTTACCAGACGGGCTAGTTCATCATATATAAAATAATGAGTTACGTCTTAAGACCCTGTATATCAGAGCAAGTGATGAAAAATAGGTTACTCACTTCCGCCGTAAGTGTGATACAGGAAACGATCAGAATAAAAACTGCCAGCCTAATCTACTGTCGACAATATCAAAAACAAACAACGCGCATGCGCGAAATTAAAAATACAAAATGGCAACAATTTACACAAAGAGAAAAGCAAAAAAGTGTTTAAGGCTAGATCGAGAGATCGAAGGTGATGTGTTGTTAAATATTTCCATGCTAAAGCTACGAGTTCTATTCGATAGTCATCGGTGACTGGTCAGAAGAGTGGCTCATAACGCTTTCAAAGGATGGATGAACCTTCTTGTAGCGGTAACAACGCTTGTGACTACCAGGTTCTGTAAGCTTTCATGTGTAATGAACTTACCAGCACATCAGGTTGAAACACAGGTTCCTGTACGATTACCGAAGTTAAGCAACGTCGAGTTTGGTTAGTATCTAGATGAGTGGCCGCTTGAGTATAACAGGTGTTGTAAGCTTGGATGTGCGGGTGATGAAATGTACTTACGACCACATCATGTTGACACAATTGCTCCTGCAAGATCATCAAAGTTAAGCAACGCCAAGCATGGTCAGTTTCTAGTTGACCGTTTGTGAATACCAGGTACCGTAAACTTGGCTATGTAGAGTGGTATGAGGGTTAATGCCTCGGAATTGTTAATCGGAGGGCCGAATTCCAATTCCAGCTGGATTGCTTACATTCACTTACGTACATATACTCTTGAGAAACTCTTCTACCCGGTGCTATGGGTTAAGTAGTAAAACTTGTATCACTAATTATTATTATATTCAAAATGATTTTTACAAAGAAAAAAAAATTCTGGCTTTAAATATCCTGCAAAGGGTTGATAAGCCGTAGAAAACTAATCAATCAATCAATCAATCTACTGTTTAAGCAGAAGAAATTAAAAGAAGAAAT